AAGGCTGTGACCAACAAATGCTGCTGAGAGCTTATTGCCCACTAGAGAATTTTCCTAAGAAGTAGCTAGGGTTTTTGACTATAAACAGTGACATTTCAAAGTCGAAAGGAGAGATCATGTTAGAGAGGGGTAGAGACTTTCTCTTCTTGGGATATTTCTTTCCTGAATTACTCTTTCAGATACGGGTTGGTCAGTTGGCATCTTCAGTGTTTCTCTGAAGCCCCAAATCAGGAGCCAATGAAAGCTATATTTTTAAAAATTTAATTGAATTTTTATAAAGTTTGCAATAATTCATTACATTTAATATTCAAACACCAATCTCACCACCATTGCACCTTCTCACCACCATTAAGAGGAAAGTGTGTGATGTTTGGTGTATTTCATCCGGGAGCCATTAAGCTCTTGTATAAGAGATTACAAACATGTATGTTAAACCCAAACAAATGTTTGCTATTCTTGGTACATCAGTGGGGCAGGCAGAGCATTCGAGGCCACACACTCCAGGAATTCTCAAATTTAGCATACGACTATAGAGCAAATTTACTCATGGGTAAGGCCTATGTTGCTCTCTTCCAGGAGTCTCTGGATCTTGGCCGTTGGTGAGATTACACGGTGTCAGGGGCAGTTTGTGGGTGTAACTGCGAAGTTACTGGTAAACTTGGGGCCTTGGGGGGAGGAGGCCAGTCCCACACTGCGTGAGCTTAGAGATTTCAGTCACAGGTCCCGCATACCTGAGCTTTTCTGAAGTTTCCCTCGTGGGTGAGGATCGTTCGAGCCTGTGGAGACTGGCCATGAGCATGGTGGCGGTTGGGTTCTGGAGATTTTTGGCTACCGGGGCAAAACTAGATTTTTAGAAGGGATTTTCTTATTATTTTTTCTTTTTTTTTTCTTTTTGGGTCACACCCGGCGATGCACAGGGGTTACTTCTGGCTTTGTACTCAGGAATTATTCCTGGCGGTGCTCAGGGGACCATATGGGATGCTGGGAATCAAACCTGGATCGGCCATGTGCAAAGCAAACACCCTACCCGCTGTGCTATGGCTCCAGCCCCAAGAAGGCATTTTCTTTTTTTTTTTTTTTTTAAATTTTTATTAGTGAGACACCATGAGGTACAGTTGTAGACTTACAAATTTTTGTGCTTGGGTTTCAATTATACAATGATCAAATACCCATCCCTCCACCAGTGCCCATTTCCCACCACCACGGATCTCAGTATCCCTTCCACCCCCCGTACCTCCCATCCCATCCTGCCTCTGTGGCAGGGCACTCCCTTTTGTTCTCTCTTTCATAAGAAGGCATTTTCAACTGGAAAGAGAAGTTGTCATTAGTTACCAGTCTGGTATAATTAATGTGTCTTTGATTATAATATGACCCTTCAGGACAAAGTGCTTCCTGATGACCCACTGACCCAGCTTACCACTGACCCAATGTCTTGGGGGCCAGAGTGATAGTACAGAGGTAAGGCGCTTGGCTTGCCGTGATGACTAGCCACAATTTAGCAAGACAGGGACCTGGATATTTAGGCAGTCTTACTGAAGATGAGAAGAAGAGACAAAACTAATTTAGTAGGGATGGAGAGAGAGTACAGAGGTGTAGTCAACCCTTGGGAGAACCCCCAAATCACACCCCCCCATTAACATGTCATGCCATTCCAAATAAGTAAATATTTTATTATTGTAGTCCAAATGACTGAATTCCCTTCTTTGCTAATACTTTTCCTCACTCACCCCAAAATAAATTTATTCAACCCAAGAGATAGCTTAATGAGCTAAACACACGCTTTGCATTCAGAAGGCCTGAGCTTGATCCCCATTACCTTAGACAGTCCCCTGAGCACTGTCTAAAGTGACACACAAGCACAGAGGCAGGAGTAACCCCTGAGCACTACAGGGGGTAACCCTCAAACTAAACAAAAATGAATTAATTCCGGTAGCTCTATACCAAGCCCTCTCCTCAGCTCTCCTCTTGTTCTAATTATCACACACTAAATAAAAGAATAATTTGGCATTTTTGGGGGGGTGTGGGTGTCCTCCCATATTGTCACAATTTACCTTTCTTTGTGTAGAGTCAGTAGGAGTTCACATCCTTTTCCTTGTCTTAAAGTCTCCACTGAGTTTAGTATGTGATTAATAACATTCTGGCATATGGGCAACATTACTTTATCATGTTTTGAGTTTTTATTTGGTTTTGTTATACAATACCCTTGTAGAAAATATTATTTGGTTTTGTTATTTGACAATAACCTTGTAGAAAAGAGAGGCTAGAGACTAGATAGCAGTTTGGAACACTGAGTTCCTGACGTTGGGACTTTGATAAATTGTTTATACTCTGCTAGTGTTTTCTCATCTGTAAAATCAGTATGGGGGGCTGGAGCGTTAGTACAGCAGGTAGGATGCTTGCACTGCATGCGTCTGGCCTGGCTTCTATCCCCAGCATCTCATATGATCCTCTGAGTACTGTCAGGAGTAATTCCTGAGTGTAGAGCCAGGAGTTACCCTTGAGCATCCCTGGGTGTGTGCACCAAACAAAATCAAAATGAATACATAAATAAAAATCAAATCAAATCAGTATGGGGACAGAACTTCTAGAGATTGTTAAATGAATTTATATGCTGGAAGCACATGGAGGAGAGGGAGTGTTGGACCACACCCAATGATCCCGTCTCTGAACTCAGGAATTACTTCTGGCAGTGCTCGAGGGACCATATAGGATACTTGGGATCAAACCTGGATGGTTGTGTGCAAGGCAAACACCCTCGCCCCTGGACTATTGCTCCAGCCCTTGGAAAAATGTCTGACACATTAAGTGCTTCCTAGTAAGTTGGGTACCTTGTGGTAGCATTTCAGAACCCACATTCCAGAGTTCATTGGAAAAAAAATTTCATAATGAGCAGGGTATATCCCAAGAATCTGAGGATAAATACCTACCCCGAGGTTCTACATCTAGAAGGTGTTGTATCTTACTTCAAAGACAATCTGCAAAGTCTGGGAAAAGCATTCCAGGGTTCATCCAACAAAGCTATTAGGAAATAGGAATCCTTCCACTTTATGATTCTCAGTCCTGGTCCCCATTAGAATCCCCTAAAACTCTGAAGGAAAATCTGTAATATGTGGTCATGTTGTTTACTCCTTTTTCCGACAATTTGCCTTAATTCACCTCCCAGACATTCTTGTCAACAAGTCTTTTGCTGGTAGTTTGCTCAAACTAGGAGGCGTTTATGTTGGTATCTAGGAAACGGAAGGCTTGTGTCCCCAAGTTTCTGTTTAGGTGATCTCGTCTCACTCAAGTTTAGATTTGGTTTCTTTTGCCTCTTCATTTCCCATCACAACACAAACTGAATCAGGCAATACAAAAACTTGACTAGACAGGATAATCAGACACTAGATTTGTGGGGAATGGGGGAGAGGAGTAGAGTATTTGGCAATGCCCAGGGTATACTCCTGGCTCAGTGCTCAGGTATAAGTCCTGCAGTGCTCAGAGGATCTTATGCTAAACCTGGGGTCAGAACCTGCAAGGCATCTTGAACCCTGTACTATCTCTCTGGCTGATGTCCTAGGGATTTTCTTTTTTCCCTCAGTCCCCCAGATACCAGAAGTCCTACAGGAATGGAATAGCTAAATTACTAAACCTCTGCTAGCAATTTTTTGGTGGAGATCTAGGACCCTACTTTAATCCGTTTTCTGGTTGCTAAGAGAATCTAGGTACTTGAGTTTTTTTTTTTTTTTTTTTTTTTTTTTTGGTGGGGGGTGAGTCACACCCGAGGATGCTCAGAGCTTACTTCTGTCTTTGCATTTAGGAATCACTCAGGCAAGTGCTTGGGGGACTATATGGGATACCCAGGACTGAACCCAGGTCAGCTAGGTGCAAGGCTAAAGCCCTCCCTGCTGTACTATCCCTAGGGCTCCAACATTTTAGTTTCTAAAAATATTTTGAGTATTGGCTTCAGCTCCTTTTGGCAGAAGTGGCTTAATTCAAATTTAACCTAGTGGAGACGCACTCCCTTAAAAGGGTTAAGGAAAGTGGCCTGCAGCCCATGAGCTCCTAGAAGTTGAGGCCACAGAGCAAAGTTTAAGTTTACCTTCAAAAGCACCAGATAGCTTATTATAGCTAAATGTGTTAACTGCAGCTCGTACGTGGCTAGCTGTACTTATTGTCACATTGCCAGGCTAACTTCAGCCTAGGAAGTCCAACTTAACCTTCATTTTCACCAACTCTTAGCGTGCTGTTAGCTCTTAATTTGAAAATATGGGGGGCTCTGAAAAGAGCCTTTGGGTTCGAAAGCGTTAGCGGAAACAGGAGGCTGTCAAATCACTTTCCCTTGGCCTTGTGGTGGCTCTCGGTCTTCTTGGGCAGCAGCACGGCCTGGATGTTGGGCAGGACGCCGCCCTGCGCGATGGTCACGCGTCCCAGCAGCTTGTTGAGCTCCTCGTCGTTGCGGATGGCCAGCTGCAGGTGGCGCGGGATGATGCGCGTCTTCTTGTTGTCGCGGGCCGCGTTGCCCGCCAGCTCCAGGATCTCGGCCGTCAGGTACTCGAGCACGGCCGCCAGGTAGACCGGGGCGCCGGCGCCCACCCGCTCCGAGTAGTTGCCCTTGCGGAGCAGCCGGTGCACACGGCCCACGGGGAACTGCAGGCCGGCTCGGGAAGAACGAGACTTGGCCTTGGCGCGCGCCTTCCCGCCCTGCTTGCCGCGTCCAGACATTGCAAAGAAAAACAAAGCGAGAGGAGCGAACAACTAGGAGAGCTCGGCTAAGTAGGTCTTTAGGAGGACAGCGAAACACCGGAGCCTTTATAGGCATTTCCGGGAGAGAAAATCCCGTTGTCTGATTGGCTGTTACTGAGACACTGTCAGCTAACCAATAGGAAAATAGAACCTCCATACCTCATTTACATAGCCCTGCCCCCGCATGACGACATTGCCGTTTGGCTTCCAATTAACAAAGAGCATTTTGCATCCCTCATTTGCATGCAAGCCCTATAAATACCTGAAGTCGGCTTCCTGCTTTCGCTTCATTTCTGGCGTTTAGCTGATCCCAAAATGCCTGAGCCCGCCAAGTCCGCGCCCGCCCCGAAGAAGGGCTCCAAGAAGGCCGTGACCAAGGCGCAGAAGAAGGACGGTAAGAAGCGCAAGCGCAGCCGCAAGGAGAGCTACTCAGTGTACGTGTACAAGGTGCTGAAGCAGGTGCACCCCGACACGGGCATCTCGTCCAAGGCCATGGGCATCATGAACTCGTTCGTCAACGACATCTTCGAGCGCATCGCCGGCGAGGCGTCCCGCCTGGCGCACTACAACAAGCGCTCGACCATCACGTCGCGGGAGATCCAGACGGCCGTGCGCCTGCTGCTGCCCGGGGAGCTGGCCAAGCACGCCGTGTCCGAGGGCACCAAGGCCGTCACCAAGTACACCAGCTCCAAGTAAACTACAAGTAAGCGTCTTCACATCACAAACCAAAGGCTCTTTTCAGAGCCACTCACTTGTCCACAAGGAGAGCTGCAACCGGATACTGTTAGACGGCGGGTGGGGTAACTGCAGTCTTGGGAAACGGGGCTTCCCGCATTGGCAGCGCGGATGAGATTGTTCTTGCCCTTATTACTTAATCCAATTTTAATGAGTTTTTTTTTTCGGTATGACTTAAAACTTGAAATAGGGGTTTGTCTTGGCGACTGCGCATGTTGTGATTTTTACCAAATAGATTACTGGCATCACCCTAATTGTTCATTTGCAGACAATCCCTAGTCTTTCCCTCAGTTTTGTCATCTTTTTTAAAAAATGATAATACTGGTCTAAGATCTGAACTGGTCAGGAACAATCTACTGCACTAGAGAAATTGCTGGGTACCAAATCGTCACAAAGGGAGACAAGTAAAGGTGAATGCTTTGGCTACCATGGCAACTAGGAGAAAGGGGAGGCAAAAGCCACTGTACTTGGCATTCTTTCATCACTAGGAAACTAGCTTATAGGCCGTGAGTCAGAAATTCTTAGCCTTAAGCAGTTTACTCAGCTCCCAAGCAAAGAAAGGCTTCTCTATTCACCAGGGAATACATTTTCAGCATCATGAGGGGAATTGGTTTTTCTCCCCTAAACGCATGGCATAGTACAGAAAATGAAATGTATGTCATTTTCTAACCTATTTGCTTAAAAAAGATTTAAGCAAATAGGTTACGCATAGGTTACAAAATTCTGTTCCTTAGTGTTAGGAGAATTACAGCTTGAAGTAGGACTCCTGGGAAAAACACTGGCACCAGACAGACCTATATTTGAACAGAACTGTCATTGCCTCCTGAGCCAGAGTGTCTTCTGAGAAATGGTGCAGCCCTGGGCCCAAAGTAGAATTGCAAATACAGCACAGTGGCAGTTACCTGTCCTGAGTTGAACAAATCAGTGATTTCCCCCTACCCAACCCCCATCCCTCTGCCCCACCAATCCACGATCCTAGTGTAGTTTATTCCAAATTGACCTGTGTTGTCATCTCAATCAGTTTACCCTACAGTTGTCCAAACAGCTTGTCCCTCCCTGTCACTGCTGTCCCTTTACAGATTTGACTTCCAGATTTGACTTTGTTGAATGACATAATTGTATTGCTCAATTATCTATCAATGCAATAGGGCTAATCATTCATTCCTTGACTATTTCAGATGATTCCACCAAGATCTTGTTTCTGAGAGTCCTACCAAAGTATGAAAGTCACCTTGTCCAGCCTAAGCATTAAGATTTTTTTTCCAAACTCACCTTCCTGGGGCATTTGAATGCTAAAATCTCTTCTTACCCAAATTTTGTTTATTAAGTTGGTTCTTGCTCTTGCAACTTTTTCTGACTGGTTGCAAATGAATTGATAAGTTGGTGGCAGACAACCGGGACTTGGGACTTGCATTTATTCTTGGTCTTTTAGGGATTGTTGGTGTTAGGATTCTGTTCTATTCCAGCTGTTAAAACACAGGATTAAGGAAGTTGGTGTTTTCCCTTCTGCCATATAATGGGTTTCACTATTTTGTGTTTGTATGCTGTGGGTTTCTGTAACTAAAGATTGGTCCTGATCATCCTTGCAAAGCTGTGTTGTATTTATTTTTTAATTAATTCCTTTTTTAAATTTAAATTTAATTTTTTGGCATTTGGGTCACACCTGGCGATGTACAGGGGTTACTCCTGGCTTTGTGTTCAGGAGTTACTCCTGGTGGCGTTCTGGGCACCATATAGGATGCTGGGAATCGAACCTAACCTGGGTCGGGCATGTGCAAAGCAAATGAACTACCTGCTATACTATTGCTCCAGCCCATATTTATTTTTTTATTCTTCACTTTTCCTAATTCTAAATTCAAACAGTTGCCAATATCTGCAAAAATAGAATTATTGTCTTAAAGATAATGGCTGCCTGTAATAACTTTTGACTTTATTAAAGTGTTGGACCTAACAGGAGACACAGGACAGCAAAGAACAAGTGTATGGAGTCTCTAGCTTCCAGTGGGTTGTCTGTTTAATCTTCACCGAAGCCTCTGAGTTTTATGACTAAGTTGTTCTTTCAAAGATCTTTTCCCTTCTGGTTCAGTTGTTGTTGTTTTAGGACCACACTCAGCTGTGCTCAAGGCTTACCTTTGGCTCTGTGCTCAGGGATTATTCTTGTGGTGCTCCAGGGACCATGTGGGGTACTGGGAATCAAAACTGGAATGAGCCACATGCAAGTCAAGTGTTCTGCCTGCTGTACTATGTCTCCTGGCCCCCACTCGGGCTTTTTTATTTTTTATTTTTTTGCTTTTTGGGTCACACCTGGCGATGCACAGGGGTTACTCCTGGCTCTGCACTCAGGAATTACCCCTGGCGGTGCTCAGAGGACCATATGGGTTGCCGGGAATCGAACCCGGGTTGGCCGCATGTAAGGCAAACGCCCTACCCGCTGTGCTATTATTCCAGCTCTGACTTGGGTCGGGCTTTTTAAAAATGAGGTTAGAGAGGAGAGCTCAGAGGCATTTTATTATAGTTCAAACTGTCCTCTGGTTGTTCATCGATTTGCTTGAGCAGACCCAGTAACGTCTCCATTGTGACAATTGTTACTGTGTTTGGCCTATCGAATATGCCACGGGTAGCTTGCCAGGTTTTGCCGTGCAGGAGAGATACTCTGGGTAGCTTGCCAGGCTCTCTGAGAGGGGCGGAGGAATTGAACCTGGGTCGGCCAGGTCGGCCGCATGCAAGGCAATCGCCCTGCTGTGCTATAGCTCCAGCCCTAGTTCAAACTACTGAGTCAAAAATATATGCACCAAACATTTAATAGTTTCTAAACCATTATGTTTAGTTTACTAAAAGGGTGATGGTAGTGGAAACCAGATTTTTCTACCACACTTAGAAGGGTGTTGGGAATTTACTCAGCAATACCATGCCCTGTGATTTCTGATTTTTCGGTACCTTGCCTCTGTTTCGTAAACAGTTTCAAACAGGTAAATCTGTTTTCACCTGCTTTAAATTTGTTCCGTTATCACAATTTAGTCCTCTGACTTGCCCAGCAATTGAGAATGCTCTGTTTTGTAAATATAAACAGTTTCGAACAATTTTTTCTACCTCAGCATGAAATGTACATGGTTAGAATATAAATTTAAATTCTAACAACTTGTAGAAAACTGAAAACACTTTAGTTTAAATAAAGGAAGCACTGTAGCACTGTCCTCCTGTTGTTCATGGACTTGCTTGAGCGGGCCCAGTAACATCTATCTCCACTGAGAGACTTGTTGCTGAGTTTGGCATATCGAATATGTCACGGGGACCTTGCCAGGCGTTGCTGTGCGGGCAAGGTACTCTCGGTAGCTTGCTGGGCTCTCTAGAGGGGCGGAGAAATCGAACTTGGGTCAAATAAAAAATTCTTTAGAGCTGGGAGACAGTGTAAGAGGAAAGGCACTTGCGTTGCATGCAGACAACCTGGGTTTGCTCCCTACCACCATATAAAGCCTCCTCCCCCGGCCCCCACCCCAGCTCTGCAAGGAGGAAGGCCCAAGAACAGTCTGGTGTGGTCCAAAAACCAAGAGGGATATGGGGAAGGAAGTGGAAAAATACCAGAATTAATCTGAATCTACTGAATTCCTCCCTCTAGATTCAGTGTCTAGATGAGTTGACATCCCTTTATAAAAATTTTACAGTAATTGTTTGGATGGATTTTCAATCTCAAATAAAGGGCCCAGAGTCCAGACCTGAAAAAGATTTTTTTACGGTTATTAATGTGCATTGAACTAAGTTTAAACTTCATAGGTGATGTTACTGTAAAATTAAATTAATTTTTTTAATGTTACAAATCAGAAGGATTTAATGTTTCAGCTTGAATTCACTGTCTAAATGCAATGTTAAGGATTTTGACAAGTGTTAAATCCAGTAGATTAGTGCCTGACCATTGGGTACCTGAATAGTTTCTCAATTGTTGGGTATGAAATTTACTTCACTAACAGCAGTTTTTAATTTTTTTATTTTTACCTCATTTGAAATAGCCATAGATGAGCCATCAGGGTAGAGAATGATGCCCTAGGAGGATGTAAAAAGATATACTTGTTTACCATCTTAAGCTATAAAAAGAAAAGTAATGCGTACCTGTGGGTTCAGAGGACCAGCCAGAGCTTGGATCATTTCCCAGTTTGCTTATGCCTGAGGGAGAACCCTGTTGTCTGTTTTTTTGTTATTTTCTTTAGCTTTTTCTTTTATTCACTTTTATTCTCTTTGTATTGTTTTATTTTGGTTTGGGGGTCACACCTGGCTGTACTCTATTTTTCCTTTTTAAGGGCTGCTGTGACTCTACCAAGAGAGAACCCCAAATATGCACAGAGGATCCTGGCTGTGTTTAGTCTATTTATTTGTAAGTTATTAGTTTGTAGCACTGCACTGTAATACTGTCCTCCCATTATTCATCGATTTGCTCGAGCGGGCCCAGTAACGTCTCCATTGTGAGACTTAGTTTGTAGGTGTAGTAAATTCAGTTTAACATGACTCCCAGTATAAACAAATTTAGAATCTGACCACTTGGGTATTTATTTCTTTCCGTTGGAAACCCAATCCTGAGGAAACCATCTCCGGAGCTCTGGAAGTCAGCAGCTTCCTCCTAAGATTCTAGAGATCAAGATAAGACTGGGAATAAGCAGTTTCTTCCTTCTTTTTCCTGTTGTGTTACTGTGAATTCCCCAACCCCCGACCCCCCTTTATCAAGTCTGTCCTAGGATTAAAGTTTTGAATCTGGCCTGTTCTCGTATTTTTCTCAGAGCCTGACATCCTGCTCTAATTTCTACGGGGGTTTTTTGTTTGTTTTTTTAAGTCACGGTCATGGTCCTCCCGTTGTTCATCGATTTGCTCGAGCGGGCCCAGTAACGTCTCTATCATGAGTCTTGTTGTTACTGTGTTTGGCATATCGGATACATCACGGGTATAAAACTGGTTTTATCTGTAAGATTTGATTTGAGGAAG